GCCCTCTTGGGAGGGTTGTTTGGGACCTCGGGGGCCGTCTTGGAGTCCTCTTGGCTCGTCTTGGGGCCATCTTGGGCGTCTTGAGGCTTCTGGGGAGCTGTTTTGGGGCAGCTTGGGGCTTTTTTTGGGCTTGTTGGGGGCCTCTTGGGGGCTTCTTGGAGCCTCTTGGAGGCCTCTTGGGGCCTCCTTGGCGCCTTTTGGGGCGGAAGGCTAGAATTTTAGGTTCGTGGTCCCCGTCTGGAGCCTTTCTTGGGCCCCTCTGTGGGCCCTCTTGGACTGTCTGAAGGCCCTCTTGAGCCGTTTTGAGGCGCTCTTGGGCCGTGTTGGGGCCCACTTGGGAGCCTCTCGGGTCGTCTTGATGCCGTCTTGGGGGCTTCTTTCGCCGTCTTGGAGCGTCGGAAGCCCGAAAAAACGCGAAGGCCAAAAACGTTGAAAAAACCAATGGAAATCGACGATTTTGGCCTCTTGGGGCCATCTTGGGAGGCGTCTTGGAAGCTTCTTGGGGCGTCTTGGAGGCATCTGGGGCCATCTGGAGGCCATCTTGACCGTCTTCGAGTGTTTTTTCGGCGACTCGGGGCCCTCTTGGACCGTCTGCAGAGCTTCTTGGGAGCCTCTTCGCTCGTTTGCGGCCCCCCCAGCAGACTCTCTGGAGCGGATGACCCCCCCCGGACCGCGCCGGCGGATCCCGGGGAATCCGGCCGGACCCCCCCCCCCCCCTCCAAAACGACCGGACCAGGCTCCGGGGGGAGGGGTTTGGGGAGGGGGGAAGCATCTCACACGCCGATGACCCCAAGGGGTCGGCGGATTTGCGGGCCGCATCTAGTGCGAGCGGGCGGCGGACGGCGTCGCGGCTCGCACCCAGTGCTGGCGTGGGGGGGGCCAGCGTAACATATTCCCACTGTGAAGAGCGCGCTGCATGCCAGAACCAAGAGCAAATCATCATCGCCATCGTCAGCATCATGCCTCTGCTCTCTGCATGCGCACCATTTCGGCACACCCCACGCGATTCGTGGCCCCAAAGGGGCCTGGCCCCAGTGACAGGGTCCTCATGCGTCCCCCCGCCCATGTTGGCACACACCTCACACGCTTCGTGGCCCCATAGGGCGCTCTACCGAAGGCCCCAGTGGCAAAGTGCGGATGCGTCCCCCCGCCAATTTCGGCAAACCCCTCACACGCTTCGTGGCCCCAGTGTCTGCTTTCGCATGCGCCCACTGGACAAATTTTGGCACACCCCTCACACGTTTCGTAGCCCTATAGGGAGCTCCTCCGAATGCGGTGCATACAACGACGGTGCTCACAATTGCATATGGTCGGGTCCTTCGCCAGGCAAATCTTATTGGTGATGGCGACCGCGGCGTCTGGCAGCCGCCCCGGCCATTGTGGACGATCGCCTGGCTTGTAGGGGTGGTCGTGCGAGTGCACTTGCGGGCGGTCGCATCGGTGGTTCGGGCTGCTGGTCGTGTTCCGGGCCGTCCTGGCGCGTCCTGGCGGCGGACGTGTTGGTGCTCGCGGTGACGGTCATGTTGGTGGTCGTGATGGCGGGCTTGCTCGCGTGGACATCATATGTGCAACCTGTGGTTTGCATGTTGAAAGCGTCTGTTTGTCCCATACTAAGCGTAAGCTCTGCAGCAGTGGAGCGTACAGTTTCTTTCGCAGTGAATCGTACAGCTTCTTTCTGCGAGCCGTGGGGTCCTCAGATGAGAAACGCGCCAGGTGTTCATATGACTCACATCACATGTTCTTATGCGGAACAGTTTCGCTTCAAGTGAGAGACGTATGTGTCTCATACCAGAAACAAGCCCTACTTACACGACTGCCTCCATGTCATGTACAAACGGTTATTCAGACTAATACAAACCCCAATCATAGTATTTGTAGGGCGATGGGGCTATCGGGATATAGGGCTATCGGGCTATAGGGCTATAAGGCTATACGGTTATAGGGCTATAGGGCTATAGGGCTATTGGGCTATAGGGCTACAGGGCTATTAGGGCTATAGTGCTATGGGGCCATTAGAGCTATAGGGCTATAAGGCTATGGGGTTATAGGGCTATAGGGCTATAGGGCTATAGGAGGGGGGGGGGGTGAGATCGCAGTGGAACGGAGACCCCCAACTGGGAAATCGTTTCGTTTCGTTCGTGTCGTGCGTGCGGGCGAGGCGAAGCTGCGTGGGCGCGCGAGAGGAATGAACCCGCCGTTGCTAGGGCGAAGTTAAGACAAACGATTCTTCCCCTCCCGCCCGTCCGGCGGTGGCCCGAGGTGTCCCGCGGTGTCCCCTGGTGTCCCGTGCTGTCCCGTGGTGTCCGCCGTTGCCAGGGCGAGGTCAATATTAAAGATTCTCCCCCGCCCGCCCGTCCGTCCGTCCGGCGGTGGCTCACGGTGTCCAGCGGTGTTCCGTGGTGTCCCGTGGTGTCCCGTGGTGTCCCGTTGAGTGAGATCGATACTGAGATCGATGCTGAGATCGATGTGGTGCCCCGAGGTGTCCCGTAGTGTCCCCAAAAGTGAGATCGATAGTGAGATCGATAGTGAGATACTGAGATGGATACTGAGATCGATGTGGTGCGCCGAGGTGTCCCGTGGTCTCCCGTGGTGTCCCAAACGTGAGATCTATAGTGAGATCGATAGTGAGATCGACAGGTGTCCCGTGGTGTCCCGTTGAGTGAGATCGACAGTGAGATCGATCGTGAGATCGATAGTGGGGTCGATGTGGCGTCTCGAGGCGTCCCGTTGTGTCCCGTGGTGTCCCGTGGTGTCCCGTTGAGTGACATCGATAGTGAGATCGATCGTGAGATCGATAGTGGGATCGATGTGGTGCCCTGAGGTGTCCCGAGGTGTCCCGTGGTGTCCTATGGTGTCCCGTTGAGTGAGATCGATAATGAGATCGATAGTGAGACCGATAGTGAGATCGAGTGGCCCGTGGTCTTCTGTGGTGTCCCGTTGAGTGAGATCGATAGTGAGATCGATTGAGTCAGATCTTGGTTACATCCCCTCTCCCCCCTCCACACAACTTCCTTATCACCCGAAGGGTGGTCGTATAGGCAGGGCTATAGGGCTATAGGGCTAGAGGGCCAGGGCTATAAGGCTGTACGGCTATAGGGCTACAGGGCTATTGTGCTATAGGGCTATAGGGATGTAAGGCTACAGGCCTATAGGACTATAGGGCTATAGGGCTACAGGATTATAGGGATATGGGGCTATCTGGCTACAGGGCTATAGAGCTGTAGGGCAACCGGGCACCCGGGCTCCTGGGCGTGCCGCCGAAATCCGCGCCGTACCTCACCTAACCATATGAATCCGCCAGGATCCCTACAGAGGCAAGCTCTGATTGGGGAACACATAATTCTCCGGATAGCCAGGGCGAACTTTGCTGCGGCGCGTTGAGGAGTTCTCACACGCAGGCGCGCGCACGCACAGAGCAGAACATGTGTTGCTCGCGCGGCCAAGTGTGGTCACCATCGGGAAGGACGGCTACGGGTGGACAGCACGATGTGCCAACATTTTTGAATTAGCCTAGCGCACAGAGCTAGATTCACGCACGCACACACGCGCGCACACATGCGCGCACAGAGCAACACAGCGCCCACCCAGAATACCATCAATTATTGCGGATGAGCGTTTCCCTTGTTGTTCTTCCTGGAAAACCACGTGGGTCCTTTAAGGACACACCACTAGCACTCCAGACTTTCGAACGGTGCCTTACATTCGAAATCAATTGCGGAAGGTTTCCCAGAGCTTACATTCCAGAGGTGTCCCCCCTGGTCAATTGGGAAATAGCCCGTCCAAGCGGCTACTCGCCCATCCAGCAAGGGAGTAGAGTAGACCATTGCCTTGTTCCCCCTCCCCCCCGCTCTGCTCCCTTTGCTCACTCGAGCTTGGAGCCACTATGCCGCCGGCCGGGTTTACTGGCATGGCCCTGGCTGACCCTGGTCGGCGCTGGCCCGGGTCAGCCCGCCTCTGGCTTCGCCATGAGGGAGCCCACCGGACCAGCAGAGGCCTTCCCAGAGATTTCCGGATACACGGCAACACGAAGAGACTGGGTTTTGCGGGCCATGGGGCCTTGAGTTGCTGCGCAGCTTGGTCCTGCTCCAGGCAGCCACGGAGAGAGCTGCAGTGGTCCAGGACCTGGTTCCCCCGTGGGCTCTGGCGAGCGCGTCTGGCGAGGGTCCTGCGGTTACGCGGCTGGTTGTTCCTCCCCGTCCTCCTGCGAGGGGGAGGATCGCGGGGGGCGAAGCCGGCTGGTGGGCCGAGGTGGGGCATCATTGATTCCGGCCGTTTTAGAGAGTGGACGGGGCACCAGTGTACGCAGGTTTCGTCCCCTGTCCCCTCTGGGGCGCCTTCTCCAGAGGGGCACTGCATGCCGAACCCGCCCCCTTTCCCCTCCTGACTGCTTTCGCTGGTGCCCATCCAGAGCAGGCCTCGCAGCCGCCTGAAGAGCGGGGGGAGGGCCCATGCCTCCAAAGCGCTCTGGTTTTTTGCCCGCGCCGTGGAGCTCTCGGCCCTCCCCCCCCCCCCCGCGGTTCCTCGAGGTGTCTCAGGGGAACGGGGGGCGACCTTTTTAGCCATGCCCTGCCTCGACAGTGCCAGGATGCTGAGCCTGCTGCTAGAGGAGGAGGAGGAGGAGGAGGAGGAGGAGGAGGCGGAGGAGGAGGAGGAGGAGGAGGAGGAGGAGGAGGAGGAGGAGGACTTTGTTGTCGTCGTCGGCGTCGGCGTCGGCGTCGGCGTCGTTGTCGTGGCGAGCCGTGGCGAGGATGCTGGGCCTGGTGAAGGAGGAAAGAGGGGGAAAAGTCGACATCTGTCGTGGTCATCGTTCCTGCCTCTGTGGCAACTAAATGCTTGTCCTGGCTCGCGTTCAGACTAGGATTTCGAGGCGAACTCAGCGAGCCTCCCCAGGAGACCCCAAAGCATAAGAAGCCAAACTTGTTCTCCCCCTCTCCCTGTCCCCCCTCCCCCTCCCCCTCTCCAGTTCTCTCCGCCGCCTCAATATGCCTGGCCTTCTTGAGGCGAGAATGCTGAGCCTGCTGGAGGAGACCTGCGGCCGCATCGAGGGGGCGATGCCGCAGGTCCTTTCGCCGCGGCGAGCGACTCAGGAGACGATGGCAAATACGACCAGCACGACGACGACGACGCTGACGACGACGACGACACCAGCGACCGACGACGACGACGACGACGAGGGTGACGGTCGATCGACAACCCTCATTCCAGGGCTCGATCTAAGCGGTGTTTTTGGCGAGTTCGTGGACCGCTGTTCGTTTCGCGGCAACGGCAGAGCGAAGACAGAACAAGGGAAACAGAACACACAACGACAGCGAAAACATTGCTCTTGCCGTTGTCAATCTCCCCCTGCCCCCTCCCTCTCTCCGTCCCCCCCTCCTCCTCCCACCCTCGCGTGCCCAGCGCTTACACGAGTGCGCGGCCGGCACGCGCAGCCTTCTGGATCCCTCGCGGCTGCACAAGTGCAGGCGGGCCGAGGCCCTTGGGGTCACAGGTGGACCGTTTCACCGCTGGCGGTGGCCCGGGTGTCGGCGCGGACGTCTGCAGCGGGTGCTCCTCCGTCTGCTCGCTGGTCCAGGTGAGCGATGCACAGAGGCGGGTTCGACTGCGCAGGAATTCGCGCGTCTGCTGCCCGCGTAGGGCTGCGCTCAAGCGCCCTCGCTTCAACGTGGCGTCCAGCATTGGCGGCCCGCGCAAGCCACCGCGTGAGGTCACTTTGCCATATCGCGCAAGACCAGTTTCTGTTCGTCGGTCGGGTGCCGACTTACACTTTGCTCTTTGAGCGGTCACAAGATGATATTACAGCGTAATCCTGGTGTTTGGTAATGTGAGTGATGTGGGATCTATGCTCATATGGTTTTGCGTGAGCTAGCGAGTCCACGCGTAAGTCGCATACCCTCCATAGACAGTGGTATCTGTCCCGTTGGGATCTGGGATTGTGGCCCAAAGTGCTCTTCAGAGCTCAGCACGCCCACAGGGCAATTTTGTTGATTCACCGACTACAGCCGAGGTTGATCAGTAGGTCGACCCTGCCAAATGCAGGGCACCCTTCTGTCATGTGCTTCGCGACGCATGCCGTCCACATTCCTCTGGCAATGTAGCCCTCGCCAGGATCTCGTGTCCTCTCGCGTGTCCTCTCCAATCAACCCCGACTGTACGTCGAGTCGCTCATTCTCGTTCTCGGTCTCCTGTGCCTGGCCCGTGCCTCCTCCCCCCCCCCGCCCCAGGAGAAGCGGGGCCCGCCCGGGGATGCCCGCGGCCTCGCCGCGATGGGCGGCGAGCCCCGCGCGTCGCCGCGCGCGTCGTCGGAGGCCTGCCCCCGCCCGCGTGTCGTCGGGCGCGCAGGGCGTCGGCCAGGGGCAGCTCGTCGTGGGGGGAGCGGGTCCCCGGGGGGAACGGGCCCCGAGGTTTTTCCGCCGTTCTCGTGCTCGCGGGGCCCCCACGGGCCCCGGGAGGGTCAGAAAGCGACTCAGCATGAGGTCCTGGGCCCGTTTCCCTCAGCACTCTGCTTCCTCCCATGCCAAGGCAACGTTTGTGGGACGCCCCGGGAAAAGCAGGCAGGATCAGCCAGATGCTGACGCTCCACCTCCCTCCCCCCTCCCAGGCGAAGTGAGAGGGGGCAGGCCTTCTCAGAAAGCGGCCGGGCTTCTCAGACGCCCTCGCGCCTTCTGAAGCGTCTTCTAGGCCTTCTCCGAAGACACAGACAACTTCTCAGAAGGTGCGAGGACTTCTGATAAGCCCCGCCTCCTTTTCAGAAGGCCTGCCTCCTCTCACTACCACCCAGGCGCGCCGCCGAGGGGTGATACAAGACCCTGGCCAAGTAATGTAACTTTGATTGATCATCGACGTGTCTGTTTTCGTCGCCTTCGGCTGTTCGTCGTCTTCGGCCTCCAGGGGCCGTTTTCGGGCCCGTCATAAACGGACCCGGGCCCCGGGACCGTCAGAAACGGACCCAGGCACGGAGGACTTAGGTCAGGGGCAATGTTTCGGGGGCCTCCAAACGGTGTGGCGGCCTCACCACTCGGGCCGTTCTCCGAGGACATCTCGGGCAACGGGGGCATCCGAGGTCCCAAGACCGTGCGGTGACGGACCGCGCGGTGAGACCGTTGGGGATTCCGAGGTCACCGAGCAGTCCGTCACCACGTGGTTCTCCTCCGCCTCCTACCCCCCCCTCTCGTTTTCATCTTCGTCGTCTTCAGGGTCGGCGGCACCGGCCGTAAGGCCTTCGCAATCCCGATTCGGCGATCAGGGGGTTGGTAGGCGAAGGGTTGGACTGTTCAAGGTTGATCGGACAGTTTTTTCTCCATTTCGGCCGCTGGGGGCTGCTGTCGGGCCCGTGGGCCATCAAAAGTGCATCCGGGATGAAGAATTATTTCTAGGCAAGGGGTTAAGCTTGCCCCCCCCCGCACGAGGGCATGGAAGGCATCGGTCGTGGGCAACATTAGGAGGGGGGTAGGTTCAGGGTCATCATCGTTTTCAAGATTGTCTGGCGTTTTCGGGGGTTCCCGCAGGCTTTCCCGCCTCGGGATGCTCCCCAGCAGCTGCGCCTCGCCGAGAGACGTCTGCGGATGCCCAGATCGTCCCGAATGGCCGCCAGAGACCCCAGTTGTGGCCCGAACGCCAGACGACGAGGATCATTGGCTCAGGGGAGCATGTATGGACCCCGGATGGCCCATTCATCGTCCGATAGGGGCCCGATAGCCCAGACCCGCCCAGCAGCGTGCGGATTCGCTAGCGGGGGGCCTATCGCCGATCTATCAGCGATGTATGGCCGATTCTAGGCCGAAGTTCCCCTCCCCCGAGCTGGTCCCCCTCTGACGTTTCCCTCAAAGGAGGGAGCCGGTAGTTAGAGGGAAGGGCCCTGAGGGAGTGGTAGATTGGCAGCAGCTCCTGCCCGTCTTCAGCAGGGAACGCTGCCAGTGTCGCAGCGGGCGCTGCCCACTTGGGGAAGAGCTGGGGCAGAATGTCGCATGCCCAGCAGCGGCCGCCGTCGGTCTTGGACGTCATGTGAAGTTGGGCTTCGTACCCACTCGTTCCGGACCCACACATTTCCGGCGTGCCAGCGAAGGATGCGGGGAGGGGCTTCCATGCTCTTGGCATCGGGGAGCATTTCTGTTCGCCTTGCGAAACATGCACGCACGAAACCGACAAATGCACAGGGAATGGACGTCCGAGCGATGGCGACTGCTGAGTTTGCACGTACGTCCTCCTCGCCGCTGGGGCCCTACGCCTCAGGGTGGCCTCATCTCTGGAGTGCCGAGGGCGCAGGGCGTCGGCTCTCGGCACTCCCTCAGTGATTGGGCGCCGCAGCGGGAGCCGTTGCAGTCAGGGAGGGGGAAGGGCGGACGGAGAAAAGAGAGAAGGAGAAGGAGGAGGAGAAGGAGGAGGACGTGGGATGATTCGTGACGCGGTGAATAAGGAGAATGAGGAAGAGTAGGAGGAGGAGGAGGAGGAGGAGGAGGAGGAGGAGGAGGAGGAGAAAGCCACGAGCCGTCGGGTATTCTGCCAGCCTTCAGATCGTGCCCAGCCTCGGCACAGAGTCGTCATCTCAGGGCGGGGGCGCGATCGAGACCGACGCATTGCGACGCCGACGCGAGGCAGAGCACGGGGGGGGCAGCGCGAGGGCAGCAGCATCATTGGCAGGAAGGGACCCCACTTCTTCGGACGTTGACAGCCACCCAGGCAGCAGGGGAGTCACCAAGTCAGCGAAGTCAGCCATACTTTCCACGTAATGTGTGTGTGTGTGCGTGTGTGCGCGTGTGTGTGTGTGTGTGTGTGTGTGTGTGTGTGTGTTTGCGTGCGTGCGTGCGTGCGTGCGTGCGTGCGTGCGTGCGTGCGTGCGCGTGTGTGTGTGTGTGTGTGTGTGTGTGTGTGTGTGTGTGTGCGTGCGCGTGCGTGCGGGCGGGCGGGCGGGCGGGCGGGCGGGCGGGCGGGCGGGCGGGCGTGCGCGCGCGCGTGTGTGAGAGAGAGAGAGTTTGGAGCTCGGAGCTTGGTTCTCGATCGCGGAGCCGTGCACCCTCTGGAAGTACGGAGTAGGCATGCCTTGGCAGACGCGCGGTGGATTCGGCTGTCGCGGCCGGGCCCCACGCCAGCTATGACCTGCGCGCGCTACCAGCGGCTCCTCTCCGCACGTGTTGGCCGGTTCAGGGTGATCGTGCCGCGCGCCGCCGAATGGTTCTCAGGGAAGAGGAGGAGGATCCGCCGCCAGGCCGCGTCGTTTGGCCGCAAGTTCGGCGGCGGCTGAGCGGGTCCGCCATCGCGCTAAGTTGTTCGGTGGCAGCGTTGAGGAGGGGAACAGGCTCGACCCCCGAATCGCCAATACATCGCCGATGCGGGTGCCATAGCCCACCCCACCGGGGAACGTGCGGATTCGCCATCTGGGGCCTATTGCCGATGCGTCGGCGATGTATGGCCGATTCCAGATCGATGTTTCCCCCCCTGGGCTGGCCCGCCTATCGTTGCCCGCTATTCGCGCTCTGCTGTGATCTGCCCCAAACAGGCCTGGGCAAGTAGGAAACCTGTACGATATCGGGTGCGCTTCTTCTTTGGAGTGCTTCCCCGCAGCGCGCAGCTCCGAAGGGCGCGCCTTGCATGAGTGGAATATGACGTTTTCGCGCATGGCGAAAAATGGCTCCCCATCGCGCAGTGTACGCTGACTCGAGGGACTCTTCACCCCTCTTCCTTATAGATAACCCCTCCCTGCCGCACTTCAAGACGTGTCCGTAGGCCGGGCCGGGCGTTTCGCGTGAGACTTCCTGCCAATTATGGCCCCGAGTCTTGACATGTGAAACAAAGGATGGAATCCGGATGGTTTTCAAAATGTGGCTCGCGCCGTAGCAACGCGCACATTCGTTTGAAAAACGCGGAAAGGGCGCTTTCTGCCGCCATTGGCACGTTTGGAAAGAGCGCTTCCTGGCGCTACTGGCAAGCCCCCTCCTGATTCGAACTGGTTGGGGGTGGGGTAGAATAGCCTTCCTCTCCGAACCGGAAGTGGTGGAGGGAGGGGGGAGGATCGGTCG